TCAATTGGATTCTTTGAATAATTGTAGAGGATTTAAAAATACAATTAAAGTGTGAAACCAGAGAACTATACTCTCCTGGGGGTAGATAAAGGCATGTTATTCTTTTCCATACATCAGTTATATGATTTCTAGGTGTACTCATCATGGACATGGCATATATGATTAATTTGTTGTGAGTATCAAATATTGTAACTTTTTTCCTCTTCTGCAAATAGTAATAACATGGCTGAAGAAGCATCATTCCATTCAGCACAAGAATATTTCTATAGGTTTGTTTCTATATTAAATTGCGAAGGGACAGATTCTGCTACCTATACTCACATTGAAAAATTATATTATTCCACGAAGAGTCCATAAAAATAAATGGAGTATATCTGAATAAAGTATTGTTATGAGCTGGATGGAACCTTGTTAAACATAAAACTGCCACCTAGGACAAAAGGACAGTGGGAAACCGCTAGGGAGCTTTTGCCTGAGTACTGTTTTGGACTGGTGTGCAGTATGGGGCAAAACTGGGAATATGAAAGAGAGAGCGTGTGCCTAAAGAACTAGGGGTCACCAAATGAAATTAATAGGCAGCAGGTTTAAAACAAACAATGGAACTCCTTGCCAGCGGATGTTGTGAAGGACAAGACTATAACAGGGTTCAAAAAAGAACTAGGTACATTCATGGAGGATAGGTCCATCAATGGCTATTAGCAAGGATGGGCAGGGATGGTGTCCCTAGCCTCTGTTTGCCAGCAGCTGGGAGTGAGTGATAGGGGATGGATCACTTGATGATTGCCTGTTTTGTTCATTCCCTCTGGGGCACCTGGCATTGGCCACTGTTGGAAGACAGGATACTGGGCTAGATGGAACTTTGGTCTGAGCCAGTATGACTATTCTAATGTTCTTATGTAAAGGCGTATCTGAAAGTGCAGTGGCTGACCCTTGTAAATGGAGAAAGGTTTCTTGGGTCAGGGAGCTGGCTGAAAAGGGTGCTCCTGCTCTTTCCTGCTATTCAATTCCTTCTGTGTTCAGAGACACAGTACTTTATACATTATTTGTAAAGAAACAAAACCGCATCAGAGAAAATACCAGATCCTATCAATTTCTACTTCCAACTGGAACATCCCCCAAGTCCCGAAACTTGGACTAGTCACTTGGGTCAAAAGGGATAACATTGATGCTAGGCAGGGCCGGCTCTAGGCACCAGCAAAACAAGCCGCCCCTAAAAATGTGCCCCAGCCGCCCTAGCTCACCTCCGCTGCCGCTCGCGCGCCGCTACTCGCCCTCCCTCCCAGGCTCTCAAACCTGGGAGGGAGGGGGAGATCCCGAGCTGCCGCGGCACGCAAAACAGCCATTTCGCGCGCAGCTGCCACTCGGAGTCTCCCCCTCCCTCCCAGGCTCTCAAACCTGGGAGGGAGGGGGAGATCCCGAGCAGCCGTGGCTCAGGCGCCGCTTCTCCCCCTCCCTCCTAGGCTTGATTGCCTGGGGGGAAGGGGCGGAGTTGAGGCGGGGCCGGGGGTGGGGTAATTAAAAAACGGGGGGCGGGGGGCGGCCAAAATTGTCTTTGCCTTGGGCAGCAAAAATCCTAGAGCTGGCCCTGATGCTAGGAGCAGGATCTAGCTTCTAAGGAGAGAGAGTGTGAACTGGTATTCTTATTGAACCAAGACGGAACGAATAACAGAGGCACCAGCAGAATTGTATTGACCTTATTGACCAGCAGGGTAATGGGATGATATGTTTCAGGCCATTGACAGCCTTTTATAAGGATCTCCAAGGACTAAGCCATGTTGCAAGTACTGTGCCGACATAGTTACTTACTGACCAAACTCCAGCCTTGGATATGCCCAGCAGTTACTTCAGTGGGTGCCGCACATGTATCTAAAGGCAGAATTTATTCCTTATACAGGAAAGAGACTCCATAATGATATTTATTTCTTCATATTATTAATTCTTATTCTACACATTTCCTCACCTCTTCATTTCACCCATTTTGTTCTTTTATCTGAACTACAAATGAGTACTAGACCTGGGAAAAAACAAACTTTGTGGACACAACTCCTCACCCCTCACCCCCCCACAATGCAGACTTGGGTTGACTGAAACATTTCAGGAACATATGATGAATTCACAGAGTTGTTTTTTGTTTTTTTTACCAAAACAAGTTCCATTTTGACATTTTTAGAACTAAATTTGTGAGTCAAAATTATTTTCTTTGGAAATTTACTTCAATTTTATTTGAAAATAAAAAAATTAAGAAGTTCAAAAAAAAATTTAATGGCCAGGAAACCAAAAAAAAAAAAAAAAAAAAAAAGCTTTAAAGCTTTCTCACAGCTTTAATCAGCACATTCCCATACATGTTTCATAACAAGATTTGTGCAACCTGGAGCTCCACACCTCCTTCCCTAGAGGCTTACTAGAGAAGATCAAGTTCTTCTTGTATGTAACCCTTTCAAAATGTTGGGGCACACCTCCTGTGCTTTTAGGCCAATTTTCAGTACAACCCTAACTGCTAGTTAAGCTAGTGAGAGACATCCTCAAAATTTGCATACCTGATTTCTAGGTCAATGTTTTGAAGTTAATTAGGGTTAACCCCACGCACTCAAATCTCCATCAGAATTTGCAATAAAAAAAACAGGACAACACCATCCCCATGATGCACAAATAGTATACAGTGGCAGCTACCCTGAAGAAGCCTGCTAAGAGGTGTGGACAGCCTGATCATAGTTCAGCAGGTAAGAAGGCAATTCAGCTAGATTGGCATACCTGACTGCTGGCATCTCCCTGGTCATTGACAAAGGCCCTTGCAAGACTCAGAGCCTAAATATTTTCATTTGGATGGCCTGAGCACTCAATAGAAATCCTCTACAAGTCAATGTCCGGGAGTATGATAGCAACAAAAGTTATGACTGATTATGGATATTATCTTCAGAAAGACAGAATGAGAGTAAGCGTGGATCAAATTTCAGCTCCTTGTTCTTGCAGTTAAAGGCAATAAATAAACTGGCCTCTAACACCTGGAATGCACACCATTTTCGTACCAGTATAACTATGTCAGTTAGGAGTATGATTTTTTTTTTTTTTTACTGAAATAGTTACACCAGTACAACCTCTAGTGTGGATGCAGTTATACCAGTATAAAGGTGCCCTAAACAAGTATAACTTATTCCCCTTCCTCTACTGGCCCAGGACGACAAACCGCGGTGAGTGGGGGCCACGATCGGCCGAACCTGCCACGTCAGCAGGTAAATAAACTGGCCCGGCCCGCTAGGGTGCTTACCCTGGTGAGCCGCGTGCCGAACGTTGCCGACCCCTGGTCTAGACAGTATTTGGTCCTGCCATGAGGGCAGGGGACTGGACTCGATGACCTCTCAAGGTCCCTTCCAGTCCTAGAATCTATGAATCTATGAATAATGGATGTTGTAGGAAGGCAAGGGATATGATAGATGCCCACAAGTTCTGAGAATCTGGACAAGCATTAGAGCTATTGGATGCTTATCTGAACTGAACTCCAGATCTCTTGTATCTTTTCCTCCTCCCCGCAAGTATCGTCAGTCATTACAGTATTGGGGCTGGTTTGGAGAAAAGGCTCTTAAATATGCTTGCTTTTGTACAGTGTTTTAAATATTTTGGATTTAGTAGCTGTTCTTTGAAAAGGGTTTTTTTCTAATGAAAAGCATATAAGTACCTCTCCCTTCTCACATCCTTGCTCCTTTATACACTGAAATCTCCAAAACTAGTTTGTTTTCTTTGTGTATAATTTGCAAGGTGATCTCTGGCCCAAAAGAAACATTTCAACTTGTAAAGTTTATTATTAATAAAAATGGGCCTAGGAAAATTTCCCTAAACTGTTAATGTGGAGTTTTAAATGTTAGAAACCAAAGGTAAACCTTGAAACACAAGTTAGTGCACTCTTGGCATCAGCAATAGTTCTGCTGTTCCTTTAAAAGCAGGCCATTGTGGGACTGCTGAATGTTGAGGTGTGACATCATATGAGAAACACCTTGACAGGTGCTTGATTCCCACCCCTACCTACTGGTCCTTCAGCACTCACTTCTTTGGAGAGAGAGATACTAGCCCTGTACCTTCTTAACAGCCCTGCATACGTGGTCATAGTGGAGGTCGCTATGGGATCTGCCTTCTTACAAGAGAACATTCTCAAAATTCTGTCAGGTTTTTTCCCCACCAGTGTAATATTCAGATTCAATTAGGTGCAGATGAAGTAAAATGCATCCTTTTAAAGCAGAGAGGAGAAGAACTAGAACATACAGGATATAAAGCTGGTCTGCCAGGTATGGGGTGTAAGAGATTTTACTGGCTATTCTATAAACTTCAGTTACAATGAAAAGATAATAGAAATATTACCCCTCTCTTCCCATTATGGATAAGCAGTTCTCTTAGGGCAGGTCTACACTAACCCCCCAATTCGAACTAAGGTACGCAACTTCAGCTACGTGAATAACGTAGCTGAAGTTCGAAGTACCTTAGTTTGAACTTACCTCCGTCCAGACGCGGCAGGCAGGCTCCCCCGTCGACTTCGCGTACTCCTCTCGCCGAGCAGGAGTACCGGAGTCGACGGCGAGCACTTCTGGGTTCGACTTATCGTGTCCAGACAAGACGCGATAAGTCGAACCCAGAAGTTTGATTGCTTGCCGCCGAACTACCGGGTAAGTGTAGACTCTACTACTCTCTCTGCCTCTCAACTGAATAAAGAGATTGTCCTGCTTCTCTTATTACCTGTACTCATTTAGAAATGCAAAAAGAGAGAGCACTAAAAAGTAGAAGAGGAGCATATAAGGGGTGCACATTGACTGGCACAGTTTTATTAGTCATAGGCCAGACACTCAGCTGGTATAGATTAGCATAGCTCATCAAAGTCAAAGATTTAACTTCTGTGTATAGGCTCTTAAATATTTTCATGCTTGCTTTTGTTCAATGTTTTAAATATTTTGGTTTTAGTAGGTGTTCTTTGAAAAAGGCGTTTTCTAATTAAAAATATAAATACCCCTCCCTTCTCACACCCATGCTCCATTACACACTGAAATCTCCAAAACTACTTTGTTTTCTTCGTGTATAATTTGCCAGGTGATCTCTGGCCCAAAAGAAACATTTGAACCTGTAAAGTTTAATAAAAATGGGGCTAGTAAAATTTCACTAAATTTGGAGTTTTAAATGTTAGAAAGCAAAGGTAAACCTTGAAACACAAGTTAGTGCACTTCTGGCACTACCAATAGTTCGGCTGTTCCTTTAAAAGCAGGCCATTGTTGGACTGATGAATGTTGAGGTTTGACATAGTCTGAGAAATACCTTGGCAGCTCCCTGCTCCCCACTACCAACCCGTCCTTCAGTACTCGCTTCTTTGGAGGGAGAGATACCAGCCCTGTGCCTGCTTACAACCACTGCATA